TGGGGCAGCCACAGCTTCTCTGGGCAACCTGTGCCAGGGCCTCCCCACCCTCACAGCCAAGAATTCCTTCCTGATATCATGTATCCAATCTAACCCCCCTGTGGCTGCTCCTCCAGCCTGGAGGGATCAATATCCTGATAAAGCCACCAGTGGAGGCTCTCGGTGTCCTGGCAGGGCCCTGGGCACACCCGAGGTGTTCTGTTTGAAGGATCCCTCAAAGAAGCTCTGGGTTGGTTCCTCCAGGTCGCTCCTGGCTGTGGATGGGGCAGAGCCCCCTCCCTGCCCTGGGCTGGGCTTGGTGCTCACCCCCCTCTCCGGGTCCTGTCCTGGGGCAGTGGCTCTGAATGCTGTCAGCTGGACAGATCCATCCCTGCCAGAGGCCACCGAGCCTTCCTGGAAAACAAAGGGCAGGAATCACTGCTGGATGCTCCCAGGGGCTGTGTCCCTCCAGCAGGGTCAGCGGGGCAGTGGGACACAAAATCCCCCAGGGCTGGGCAAGCACTGTGCAGGGAATGTGCATCCTGAGGGATAACCCAGCACCCAGGGGATCCACTCCACATCCAGCCCAGACCTGGCTGTGCTGCTTTGCTGGGTTTGCCCAGAGCTGATCCCAGTCCCACCAACCTGTGCCCAGCTCCGGCTCCTCCCGGCCGGATTCGGCTCCAGGCTGGGCGATTCCAGCTGCTGGAAGTACTCATACAGCCTGTTGGTCCACTGGCCCAGAGACCTGATGTGCAGCCAGAGGGTCTCTGTGGGATCAAACAGAGAAGAGGGTGCTGAAAATCTTGGAATGCTTTGGCTTGGAAGGGACCTTAAAGCCCATCCAGTGCCACCTGCTGCCACACGGGCAGGGACACCTCCCACGGGACCAGGCTGCTCCCAGCTGGCAAAACATCACCCTGGTGATGCAAAACATCAGCCCAGGGATGCAAAACATCATTCTAGTGATGCAAAGCACCCCGGGATGGGAAATTGGGAAGGCTGTGCTCCCACCTGGCTGCTCAGGGGCGCTGCTGATGGAGAAGGGGTGCCACTCGTAGGAGGCGATGGCCGGGACGTTCAGGTACACGTAGTCCCCGGGTTTGAAGTGGAAGGACGGAGGTCTCTGGATCACCAGGTGAGTCACCTGGAGGAGGAGGGGAGCAGGAAAGCTGGAGCAGCCAGAGGGCACTGGCTGGTGTGCCCAGGGGGTCCCTGTGCAGCTGAACCCCTGGGCTGTGTCTCCCAGTTTAAGCAGTGGCTGACACAAGACGGGCTCCCAGGTTGGACCTAAAAGGGGGTTTATTCCCCTGTTCTCTGCCCACTTTGTGTTGAACAACAGTCCTAGTTTGGGCTGGACTCAAACAGGTTTTTTGTCAAAATTAAGAATCTGGGCAGTTTTCATTTTGGCTCCAGTTGTTCCACGACTTTGGGTGGTTTTGAACTTGAAAAATTGGCAAAAATTCTCAATTAAATAAACAACGGTTCAAAAATGAAGAAATTGCTTTCACCTCTCCCTGCAAACATAAACCACCCAAACCCCCAGTTTTCCATGGAAACTCTTGGTTTACTGGGTTATTCCTGCTCTCCCCAGAGGAGCTCTGGGTGCACACCTTGGAGGGGAGCAGGTTGACCTCCACGATGTGCAGCCCCCCCGCCCGGCGCCAGGCCCAGCCCAGAACCTTCTCCAGCACAAACAGGGAGCCAGGAACCAAGAACCACTTCCAGAAGTGGGGGCCATGGAGGATGAGGAGGGTCCAGACGGAGATGTAGGAGAGGTGGGTCCAGTAGAAAACCTGTGGGCAGGGAATGGGGGCACAGGGAACGTGGTGGAGCCAAACTGTGCCTCGTGGTGAGGCTGTGCCAGGGCATCCCAGGGGGAAAAAGCAAATGAATCATGGAATGTTCTGTGTGGGAAGGGAGTTTAAACATTATCCAGGTCCTGGTTGGGCAGGGACACCTTCCACCATCCCAGGTTGCTCCAACCTGGCCTTGGACACTTCCAGGGATCCAGGGGCAGCCACAGCTTCTCTGGGCAACCTGTGCCAGGGCCTGCCCACCCTCACTGCTGAGAATTCCTTCCCAATATCCCATCCAACCCTGCCTTCTGCCAGTGTGAAGCCGTTCCTATTGTCCCACCTTCCCTCTTATCCCAGCCGGGGAGAAAAGCCCAGAAACCCCAAACCTGCAAATTGGGGAGTG